TTGCCTGTTTGCTGACCACCAACACCCGCCTCGATGACCTCATCTCTATTTGGTTTGCTCAGGAACGTCTGGTCCTAACCAGTGAGCACTGGTTAGTGCTGGTCCCCTTCTGGGCAGTGTGGCCCTTCCAAACACTGCTGCTCCCCCGCCGGCACGTGCGGCGGCTGCCCGAGCTGACCCCGGCTGAGCGTGATGGTGAGCCTCCTAGCTGGGATGTTGGGGCCAGGCTCTGGGTGGGGGTTGCTCTGGTAGGGCCGACATCCACGCCCCCGCTGAGAGTCAGGCTTTGATTCCAGATCTAGCCCTCATCATGAAGAAGCTCTTGACCAAGTACGACAACCTATTTGAGACATCCTTTCCCTACTCCATGGGCTGGCACGGTGAGGCTTTTTGAGCACCCATATCCAGCCCTATCATCATTTGTGGGCTCCTGTAGTCCAGCCTGGTGGACTGTAACCCCTAGCAGGCCTTTGAACTCTTGCTGGGGGAAATGTCCGGAGCAGGGCTGCTAGGCCTGAGGGTGGAGCAGGGACTTGGTGAAAATAGGTTCCAGTGTGCTTTCCAATGCCTGGTCTGCTCTCTGGCAGAGAATGCTGGGAAATATAGTTTTTAAGTACTAGCCTAGTTATGAGGTGGGGGTGGGGGTGGGGGGGTCAGGGCCAGGCTGTACAACTAAGAAAGGGCCGTTTCTACCATCTCTGCCTTCTTCCTCTCAGGGGCTCCCACAGGATCAGAGGCCGGAGCCAACTGGGACCACTGGCAGCTGCATGCTCATTACTACCCTCCACTCCTGCGCTCTGCCACTGTTCGGAAATTCATGGTTGGCTACGAAATGCTTGCCCAGGCTCAGAGGGACCTCACTCCTGAGCAGGTCAAGACTCGGAGCATCCTAGGCCCCCTTTTCTCTCCCATTTCCTCAAAAGATCCCAGCAATCAGGACCTCGAGAATCCCTATAACCCTGGCATTCCAAAGGCCGCAGGAGCTGCTCAACTCCTTCATCCTCTGGTTATTCCAGCAGTCCTTATCACCAGCCTCCTGGTCCTACAAGCCCTCCGTCAGTGTCTCTTAGGCACTCAGAGCTCCATACCACCATCCTGGGCAGCTCTTACCCTCCCTCTTCCCCTTTCAGGCTGCGGAGAGACTGAGGGCACTTCCTGAAGTTCATTACCGCCTGAGACAGAAGGACAGGGAGACAACAGCCATCGCCTGACCACGCTGACCCCAAGGCTTTCTGCCTGAGAGAACAAGAGCCTATGGTTTGGGCAGATGTGGGATCAATAAAACTGTACTTCTCAAGCTTTAATCACATATTCTAATGCCAGAGGAGTGTGAACTCTAACCCTCGGGAGTCTGGGTTAAAGGCTGAAGGCCCAGCTTCAACCACAACTTCTTTGTCTACAGATGTGCAAAAACTTAAGGATAAAAATCTTCTCTAAATCTCTGAACAAAATTAGCACTCAGTATTATGTCTTGTCTATGGATTCTCTTAACTCCTGGAGTAACGAAAGCATCCCAATTTAAGAAAACGATTAAAACTCCTGTGTGCTGGAGAAGGCCAGCGGCCCGGCCCCCTCACCACCACGCCTAGGGTGTCAGCTCACCAAGCCTGAGCCTGGATGTTTGGTGGGGAGCGGGTGAGCAGGATCCTGGTCCCAGTGGTCAGTGGCCAGACCATGGGCTGCTGGCCAGAACCCTGGCTTTGTGAGTGGCTGCAGCTTGGCTCTGCTCCAGCCCACAGGGGCTAAAGGGGCGGGTAGGGAGCGTGTACGTGGCTTTGTATCCTTGGCTTCTCCAGACTTCCACGTGCAGCATGTATGTGCAGGCTCTACACACCTCTGTGGTGCCTGTGCCTCATCACTGCACAGGCTAATAAACAGCTATGGCAGGAAAGGGGCTGCCAAAATAAGGAGCCCCAGGGCCTGGAAGGATGGGGTGGTCTTTGGAGTCTACCCCCACCCTTCTGGACCTGTTTCCTTGGGAACAATAGGCCATGCAACCCAGGAGACTTGATGCCACCTAGTGTCCTTCAAACTTTTAGGTGAGGACAGGCCTTGCGAACAATGCAAGGATGGCCAGAATGTTCTTTGTTTCCATTCTTCTCTGGGAGGGAAATCACGCCAAGGCCAGGCAGCGGTGACCTGGCCCAGGAGAACCTTGGCTGCCTGCCTTCCGGTCCAAGGTTCTCTCTTGAGACCCTGAGGCGAAGGGTCTGGGACTTGGAGTGTTGCCCTGGTCTGGAAGGCGCTCAGACAGACATGGTACACATTTTCCTTAAGCCCCCAGTGACGAGCGTGGATGAGACCCTGTTTCTTAAGGCACTCGCCTAAACCCTACAGACGTTTTAAACAGAACCGTTCCCGACACCTTTGGGCTGCATTTTGGAATCATCTGGGGCGTTTTAAACAATCCTGATGCCTAGGTCCAGCCTCCAGAGCTTCTGATTTAATTGGTTTGGAGTGTGGCTTGCAGTTTTAAAACCACAATATTCAGCAAAGTTTGAGAACCTCTGCCCTACACCATTCTTCCTTATTTGGAGTCAGGGGCACCTTAAGCTTGTCCAGTCACCTGTCCAGTGGCTCCTGAGCCACTGAACTTGAGGCTTTGTTTGCGGACAGAAGGTAGGGGGAGGGGCCTGAAAGATTTCAGTCTTGCTGTTCCTGGAGGACAAGCCTTCGGGCAAGGACCCAGGAATCCAGCCCCGGGCTCTGTCCCCTCGCAGCCTCCTTGGTCCGGGACGGGACAGGAAGTGTCCGGCAGAGGTGGGGGTGGAGGTGATTGGCAGTTGGAGGCTCCAATGGGCCGGAACCCCCCCTATTTCACCCCTCTCCTTCCATTGGTGCCTGGGCGGAGCCACCCCCATAGCGGGCCCCAGGGCTGGAGGGAGTAGAGGCCGGGGCAGAGGGCGAGGGCGGAGGGCGCTGGCGGCAGAGGCCGCGGAAGGTGAGGCCTGGTGGGGCGTGCACGAGGGAGCCTTGCCAGCAGAGGGCCGGGCAGGGTGAAGTACGATGAAGGGCTCAGTGTGACTGAGGGACTGTCAGCGGGGGTGTGTGTGTGTGTGTGTGTGTGTGTGTGTGTGTGTGTGTGTGATGATGTCTGTGTGAAGCTCCGCAACGGTGTCACTTGTTGCAAGTGTCAGCTAATGTAGCTGTCATTGTGCATGCGGCTGTGCCAGGGATTATGCGTGTATGTGTCAATGTGAAGTGTTTGGGGAGAGACTGGGTCGTGTGTTGGTGTGTGTGAGAGGTCCTGTGACCACATCGGGAATGTGTTTTGGGAAGGTCTCTATGGGGTTTAAGATCGATTCTGCCAGAGTAAGAGTGGGTGGCTGGGTTTGTGTAAGCCAGAGTGCGCCTTCAGGAACGGTAGAGCCAGGAGTCGTAGAGCAAGAGTGAGACTTGTGCTATGTGTGTGTCCTGTGTCCTAAGTGTGAGACTGCGTGGGAGTGGAGCTGTGTTTATATTTGGGGGATCAGTATAAACACAAGGGGACTGACCTTTCTACTGATGTCCCCATAGACAGAACCATTCCCCTCCTGTCTGTGCTCAAGAATCCCTGTCGCTGGTGTATTGCTTCTTATTTTCTGTTTCTCTGTGTGACTCAGTTTCCTTATATTTATTTATTTAAAATACATTTGTATTTATTTCAGAGAGGAAGGGAGAGGGGGGGAAAGATAGACACATCAATGATGAGAGAGAATCATTGATCGGCTGCCTCCGGCATGGCCCACACTGGGGATCGAGCCCGCAACCCGACCGGGAATTGAACCGTGACCTCCTGGTTCATAGGATGAGCTCAACCACTGAGCCGTGCGGGCTGGGCTCCTTATATTTCTTTTTCTTTCCCTACTACTGTCTTCCTAGAACTGTGGCTCTCTGCCTCTCTTCACAGTTTTGTCTCCCCCGGTATCTGCGTATCTGTTTTATAACTCTGCCTCTCAGCACTGTGATGCCTGACTTTCTTTCCTGTTCACCCTGGTCCGTTTGCTTACCTGCTGCCCTGAAACAGTGATGAGGTGTGGGATCTGCCGTGATAAGAGCTTCCTGGAAGATGGGGCCTAAACTAGGATGAGAAGGATAAGAAGTTGCCTTTAGGAAATGCTGTGACCCCATTCCAGAGACAGAATGCTAAGTGTGTGCCTGTGACCGTGGGAGGGGCGTAAGATGTGTGTATCTGTGTGAGGGTATGGGTGTGTGTGAATGTAAGTGTCTGAGTCTGAGTGAGGATATCTGAGTACATTGGTGTGACTGTGAGCGGCTGTATCTGAGAGTGTGTGTCTGAGGGTAAGTGTGGGTCTTGTGTATCTGGCACCAAGGGACCAAAGGCATTTCCTGGTACTGGGGGCCCAAAGCGTGGAGGGGGAGGTGAGAAATGGCTGGAACATCCAGGGGAGGAGAAACTGGACTCTTTGGCTTTTCTTTATATCCCCCAGCCTGGGGCCTCCCTCCCCCTCAAACACATCCCCCCGCCTGTGCCCTCAGGAAATCTTTGCTGGGGAGTGAAAAGAGTGGGAGCGGGAGTATCTGATTTTTCATTTGATTGTGTCCATGTTTGTTCAAGGGGAGTATCTTTTTGTTGACTGCGCCTGGTGAGTCCACGCGTGAATGTGGCTGTGTCTGGCTCTGTGAAAACCTAGGCAATCTGTCACTGATCGGGACATAAGCAGCCCTCCCTTTCCCTC